AAAGACACGCAGAGATGCATGCCAGGACACACAGCATACACGTCGCAACATGCCTCCTGGAGGCATCCCTCCATCGCTTCACCCCTTGCACAAGGACAGAGGTTAATCACTGAAGTCAAGGGGCTGACTTCAGTCCTCCGACTGCCCCTCGCCGCTCGGCCCCTGGCTCACCCAGGGAGGCATCTGGGGCCGCTCACCCTTGCAGGGCAGCTTGTGGGGGGCCGTTGCCTCCAGTCCCGCACAGAGGCAGAGTCCAGCCAGCCGCCTCCCAGCCGGGCTGCAGACAGTTAACGAGGTTTTCTCCAGGCGGCCGCGACATCTCCCCTGATATATGAGCCAAGCCGGGCCTGAGCACGACTCCAATAAGCGCTGGGTCCCCTGGGACCCGCGATGGATTTTTCAGTCACTTGGAATCAGAGCCCGGCGACTCTTTGCTGCCCGGGAAATCAAATGAAGTTTCTTAGGAGCCTCCCCAGCATGCTGGCTCGTGCCTTTTCTTGGCTGCCTGCTCCCTTTTGACCCTCCCCATCCCCTTTGCTTCCTCCTTCTCTCCCGCCTTTCACCCATTGCTCAGCCCCCGCCGGCACGGCATTATCCCAGGAGCACGGAGGGGTCTCCTCTTTACTGGGCTGTACAGGTGTTGCGAGGCAGGGGCAGCCACAGGTTGAGCGGATGCAATGGGATGCTCGTTCCCCCTGAGCTTGGAGAGACCAAGAGGCCAACCCAGGATGCTTGAGGCTGGCGGTGTCAGAGGTGGGTCTTGCGTTCAGATCCCAGTGCCGCTGGGATGCCCTGGGCACTTGGCCCAGCACCCGCCGCAAGCCGTCCGATGCATCACAAGCCGGCTTGGGGGCATGGAGAAGGGAGGCCTAGCGAGGTGTCTTGTGCCCCCCCAGGGGAATGCAGAAGGGATCGGGGCCGCCTGCCACATGCCCGTTCCCGAGCCGCTTTCCCATCAGTGCAAGCTCTCAGGCTCCGTCTCATTGCTGGAAACGATGACTGCACACATGTGCACATGGAATGACACGCCACACACCTACTGGACACGTATGTGACACACACATTCACACACACTCACTCCTGGCCTGGCGGCCTGATGTTGGGGAGCTCCTTTCCATGCACGTTTCTCCTCCTGCCTCTCCCAGCCCGACGATGGGTACGGGTGGGCAGCCGGCAGAGGACAGATAGACAAGTAGAGGACAGACCTCCACTCCCTGCCCCTTGCTGTCAAAGGGCCACAGGACACCCAGGCCTGCAGTGAGAGGTGCCCAAATCTCTTTAACCCCTTCCTAGATCTGCCAGCTCTGATGGGGGGGCATAACCAGACAGCTCACCCAGCCCCTCGCCAAGGAGAGCAGCATCTGGCAAGACGTGGAGGCTAGAGGCACCTCTGGCAGCTCCCAGAAGGGGAAGATGAATGATTTCATCTTGCAAGCAGCAAAGTTTAGTGCTCAGCAGCTTGGTGGTGGCGGGCATTTGCTGGAGCTGTGCTACCCTCTAGCGGCAGCGCGGAGCTCGGGCCTCAGGAGCAGGTGCACGGCTGTACCCAGCACCTCGGTGCCACCCGCTCCTCCGCGCCCCATCCCTGCATGGGGACCCCCCGAGCAGCACCGCAACCATGACTCATAGCTCAGGCCCCCGCTTTGTCCCAAAGCGCTCAGGCGTCCACCCGCCGTGAAAACGCGGCTGCTTCTGGGGTGGAGCAGGGCGGCTGCAGTCCAGGAACGGTGCCAAAGGGCGAGGGGCAATCTAGCAGCACCCGTGGAGGCCTTCCCCAAGGGACAAATAAGCCACGCTGCGATTCAGGCATTTGGGAAAAGCCCACGTGTGACTAATGAGGATCTCACAAATCCCAATAGAGGATCAGGGCCTGATTCTAGCGGGGGGGTGAGAGAACGAACGTGCCACACGCGACATGTCGCAGCCGTGGCACATCGCACACAGCTGAGAGACGCTCCATGCTGCAGCGATAGGGCCGCAGAGGCACCGGCGTGGGACAGAACGGTGCCAGGTGCTGTACAAACACCTCGCAAAGGTGCCTCTCTGCCCCACGCGCCCTGCAGGACCCAGGGCCTTCCAGAGGGTCTGACAGCCCCAGCGCCGTCCCTGCTAACATCTCAGCCTCGCATCTCCCCCTCCCCGAGGCCCCAGCTGCCTGGCAGCCTCCAGACCAGCTCTCGGTTTCTATCGCCGAGTTAATAAACTGCCTAAGCCCAGCCTTCGAAGCCAATCGGCTCCCAAATCCCGTGATGGAGATGTTGCCATCTGAGCGCGTGGGCCGACCCCTAGCGGCTGGCTGGGGGGATTATGTGGGGCTCCGGCATTTATTACAGGGCTGGCATTATTGCTCTCGTGAGGCTGGAGCAGAGGATTAGGAGCGGGGAAGGGGTTATTATCATCCTCGAGGGTGCTGCTGTCATGTCGTGGGGAGGGAGACCTGGGCAGGCCACAGCAGCTGCTACTGGGGCTTCGGTGTCCCCTGGCAAAGCCGCACGTGCCAGGTACGGCTGCCGACAAGGGCAGCATCAGCAGGAGGGTGGAGGGAGTGGGGCAGACCCGGGGGCAAGCATTGTCCTTACCTCACCCAGGAAACTCCATCGGCCCAGAGGCAGGTCTCAGGCACTCAGATCCACCCCGCAACTGCCCCAAAGACCAAGCTCGGCACTAAGAGGTGGACAAGGTCCCGCAGACACCCCGCTTTCTCCTCCGTCTTCTTCCAGGATGCAGCTGGGGTGCAGGGAGGGGCGCGCTCCAGCTCCAGCACAGACCAAGGGAATCGGGAGCCGATTCCAGTGGCTCCTGTCTGGGGGCAAGGCTCGGGCTGGGGCCTCAGCTGGAGGAGATCATGGAGCTGATTGCAACCAGCAGCGACTTGGCTGACTCTTGCTGCAGTTGTGCAGGGAAAGCCATCCACTCTCTCTGCTACCCAGTGGAGGGGGGCAGGGGATGGAGCTCCCCTCTCCTCCCCTGCAAGCCCCACCTGGCTCCCTGCTCAGGCTCCGGTGCCTAGCAGGGTTGCTTCGTGGCCAGCAGCCATGCCAGCTGGGCTGGGGCTTCTCATGCCCATGGGGGCTGACCACTGCAAACCTGCATTGGACGCCCCGCATGCTCCCACGGCGCCCTGCAGGCTCCATGGAGGGCGAAGGGGACAGGAGGCAGCAGGGGCATAGGCCCATGCCCATAGGCCCATAGGCAGGCCCATGTCCAGCCAGCTCTACCCCCCGAGCCTGTATACACTGCTGCCCTGGGACATCTTGGGCAGCGAGAGGCTCCCAGCAGCTCCTTCCTCTGTGCACCGAGTTGGTCGGGTCTCAGCCAAGCTCCAGCCGCTCCCCATGTGGCCAGCCCCAGCCGAGAGGTGCAGGGGGGGTGACTGCTGTGAAGAGGATGGATCAGCTCAAGCCAGGGTGCGGGGCCAGCCCCACACCAGGCAGGTGGAGGCACGAGAGTCTGGTGCTCTTGGGAGCCACAGGACTCCTGGGCTTTGCCACGGATCGTGAGCAAATCCCCACTCCTGCTGCCTCAGTTTCCCTGAGCATGCAGCAAGGACACCGGATGCTCTCTGTCTGCAGCTGCAGTGCCCTTGCAGCACTGCTCCAGGGGAAGACCGCAGCTGTTGCCCTGCCCAGTCTTTCAGCTGCCTGAGTGCGCTTCACTTCCCCTGCTCACAATCCACCCCTTGCCAGAGTGGGGTTAGGAAGAGGGGGCAGATACTGAGTCCAGGCTGGGAGAGGCTCTGTCTGGAGATGGCACAGAAAGAGCGGGGCAGAGGGAGCGGTGACGTGCTCTGCGAATGGGCAGATCCAGGCACAGACACGGGACAGGAAGAAGGAGGATGGATAAACACCCAGCATCCCCCTCGTGAGAGCTGAGCCCCTTGGAGAGCCAGGCAAAGGCAGAAATACAGCCCAGCCCTTTCTTCCCCGGATGCCACCGGGTGACGGGCAGCCCAGGAGCCAGGCCAGCACTGAAGGGCACCCCTCCTCTTTGATGAAGGGCCCTGTCGTGCTGGTTACGGTGACTGATATAAATAAATGATGGGCTGGTCTCTTTGCCTTGCAAATTAAAACCGCATCTCGGCCCTTCCTGCCAGCATTGGAATTAGGCAAAGCGAGAGGTGTGGAGGGGGGGAGGGAGGGAGGGAGGGGGTGTCGCAGAGACTTGAAGTCCAGGAGAGGATTGGTAGGCATTTCCCTCCGCGCTCATCAACATACGCATCCATCACCCGGGCCGGACTGAATCCCCAGACAGCTTTTAATTAGCCGGGGCTGCACTGGCGAGACGCGACGGTGGGTGGTGGAAGAAGGGACGCAGACACATCCTTTCCTGGGTACCGAGCAGCCTCTGCATATTAAGCCAGTTGCTTTATTCACCCCTGCGAGTCCCTTAGGGGAGGGCTGGGGCTGGAAAAGTTTCAGGGGAAGATAAGGAAGTACTTTGCAAGGCTTGCTGAGGTTGCAGCTGACCCTGCCGCAGAGCTGGGTGGATGCCTTGGCTTTACGCGCCAGCAACGGGCAGAGGCAGGGTACCCTGCTCAGCTCATCCCTAGGGCTAGATGAGTCCAGAGGGATCTGTGCAGACACCCTGGCATTTGGCAGCCCCGGAGTGGAGATCACCAGCTCCCGTCTGACTGCATCTGTAGTGCAGTGGCCTGGCCCATAAACCCCTTGGGCCGGAAGCTGCCTTTTCCTGCTGGGAAACCCCCAGGCTCAGCGCGACAGCAGCCTCCGTTTCCTGTTATTTGTGCAAAGGCAGGTCCTTAAGCCTCCAGCTGAAATTGGGTCCCCGTGTGCTGGGCGCTGCATGGACACTGAGCGAGCGAGCGAGCGCCCTGCCCCAAAGAGCTTACACTAGACCAAGCAGGGGCGGGGGGGGAAACTGAGGCACGGAGAGGGGCGCTGACCCGGGGTCCGAGCCACGTGGACCCCACTCCCTCCACTCGGGGATGGGGGCAGGATTCCGCCTCCCCATGGCAACCGCCCGTGTGTGGTTCCGGGAGGGGAGGAAGGGCTGAGGACTCTGACTCGGGACGCGGCGGTGGGAGGAACGACGGGGAAGAGAGTAAGGGCAAGGAAGCAGAAAGGGGACAGGGGTGTCTAGGGAAAGCTGGGGATGGAAGGGGGCCTGGGATCAGGTTGATCAGAGCAAGGGTGGGTTGGGGAACCCCAGGCAGAGTGGCAAGGGGAGGATGGGGGAAACCTCCCAGCTTTGGGGGCAAACCTCAGCCCTGCTGAAGGCGGTGGAGGTCTGCCACTCGTTCCCCGTGCTCCTCCAGGCCACGGCCCTTCAGTGCCCAGGGCTCCAAGCCCCTCGCAGCTGGAGAAGCCTGAAAGGGACCTCGTTGCGTGGTCGAAACAAGCCCTTCCCGGCCGTCGCTGGAGTTGTAATCCAGTGCATTTCGGCCCTTTCCATCTGCCCTAGGCGGACAGGGGAAGTGGCTGGGAATGAGTGTGGCCTGCTACTAGGATGAATAACGCAGCCCAAACCGTGTGGTCTTCCAGGAATGATCCCTATTGACTGCGGGGAGAGGGCTGCTCAGTGAAGGATGGCGCGTGCGGTCATTAATAAATCTGATGAATGTTATCATAAGCAGGGATTTTAAATCAATAACCACTGTGAATATTGCAGTGGCACTGTGAATATTAATCAGAGATGGGGGAAGGAATGCTTTAGAGACAGGACAAATGCATATGACAACAGAGAAGCAGCTATTCTAGCAATTGTATTACATTATATTAATTATGGTATGGCATAGTGTGGTGTGACATGATGTGACATATCATGACATGACATGACTTTATGATATGATATGATATGATATGATATGATTGAATTGAGTTTACACGCAGACATAAGCAAGTTGCTTTTAATTCGGATTATTATTACTTCAAATACAGTTTGGGATGTGGCTCACTATCCCATATTTTATTCCGGAATCAATACGATATGATACGATTATAGGATAGGATCAACATCTACGATACCTATAGGATATATCCCATATTATACCTTTTCAGACCTAATATTTTCCTGTAAGCGTATTCAGCAAAGTGAGTCCCCATCCCTGAATTTCCCAGGCCCTCCTGCAACACAAAGTATTATTAACAGTTGGTGGTGGACTGATGATCTCAGTGAAACATCCCTGAAGCCAGCGGTGTTTCATTATCAGCCAGGCAAAAATCTAGAACTCTTGGTTCAGAGGTGATACCTTTTATTCGACCAACTGAGAAATTGCAAAAAAAATAATTTTTAATTTAAAAAAAAATAATTATATATTAAAATTAATTTAAAAATAAATATATATTAAAATTAATTAAAATAAATAAAATTATATATTATTATAAAATTATTATTATATAATAATTATATATTATTATATTTTATATATTAGATAAAATCTTTGTTTGCAAGCTTTCGGGCTCGCACAGCCTTCATCAGGTGCAGGGAAAGTTCAAGATGGTAAAAAGTCCCCGTAAGTAGGAAATAAACCTCATAAAAGGTATCATCTCTGAACAAGAGTTCTGGATTTTTGCATTTCTTTTTGTCTCAGACCAACACGGCTGCCAAACACATCCTCATTAGCAGCCAGGCATAAGAAAGATGTGCGATCCTATAGGGAACAATAACAGCCTCTGGCCCAAGCAAGATGCAGGTCACCACCCAAAGCAAGGTATTGCTCAGGAATGTGGACTATGAGGAAGATGGGCTTGGCCGGGTATCGGCTTTAGCACCTGGGTGTGTGCATGTGTGCATGTGTGAGACGGAAAGAGAGAGCCCAGTCATGGATCTGTGCTAGGTGCTGTACGTACAGACAATAAAATGATATGTTTTGTCCTAGCTTCCCCTTGAAACTCCCCAGCACCCCATGTCCTTTGTCACCAAGGGGATCTCAGACGTTCTCTGCTACCGTCCTCTTAGGAAACCAGCTCCTGGACATGTCCCCATCTCCAGGAAGGGAGCTGGGTTCTGGAGTGCGTCCTGAGAAGTCAACTGCTACCGTAACGCACGTCCAGGCATGGGACAGCACCAAGGAGAGTCGCCTCAGTTATCTCGCCCGACCGAAAATCAATCACCAGATCAACTACAACAAGTGAGTGAGTGCTGCAGAGACGGGGAGCAGGTGGCATCCTGTCCTTCCCTGGACAGAGCCATCTCAGCCCTGCTGCTTCACCACATCTTCCAGTCCCTTTTCATTTCCAGAAACCACCTTTGGGACTGATTCTGCTCTCAGCCAGGCTGGGGTCAATGCAGAGTCACTTCCAGGGCAGAGGAAGACAGAGAACCCAGCAGTCCTGGGTCCTCAGTCTCCAGCGCATCCACCAGTGTCTCCCAAGCCATCCTTCAGCGTCTACCAATTGCCTTTTGCAGCTGCTCTTACCAAAGGACAGTCTCTAGTGGGTAGTCTGGTGAGCATGTCGCAAAAGTGGAAACTAGGAGACCTGGATACTGCCCCTGCATCTTCCATGACTTCTTAGGTGGCATCCCCAAGTCATCCTGCTGCCCCATGCCTCAGTTTCCACACCTGCATAGTGGGGGGGACTGTGCTGACTCGCCTTGATGAAGGGTTCAATCCCATTCACGCAGAAATCGGCATTAACTTCCGCGGGTGCTGAATTGGACGCTGCTGCAGCTGGGGTCTTCAGCGGGAGGGTGATCGTGGCCTGAAGCTTGGGTGGAGGAGGTCAGAAGAGAAGGGAGATGATGTTCCGCGTTTGCTTCACCGAGAAATGGACTAAGTGCGGGGTTGTCATTACAGGGTTTCAGTCTACTGGACGGATAAAGTGCCCTCAAAGGCCGGCAGATTCACCGTCCCTGGTAAGAGGCCTTAAGAGGCCAAGGTCACCGTATGGGATTAAATTAACCAGTGATTCCATATTGATCGAAAGACTAATACCAGCAGGACCGGTGGTCCAGGAGACCTGTGACCAGTATCATCCCGGGGCATTAGTGCAAAGTGCAGCCCCGACACCCGGCAGGCATCCGGGGAGTCTAAGGTTGCCGTGTAAGATGACTGTTTGAGGCAGGGACCATTTTATGACCCCCACATCTCCGCCTGCCCTGCCGATCTCCTTCATCTCCCCAGCTGTATTTGGATCCATAGGGCAGATACTGTGGCGATGCGCTTGTTATGGAAATGCCCGAGCAGATCGAGACGCTGTCCAGAGCGTCTGTCATCAGGCCACTGGCTTTTCAGTTCAAGGCCGGTCAAAAGTCCCTTTTAACGGCACCAGAGAGCCAGCTGGGCCAGTTTGCCAGTGCTCAATACCACACAATCAGGGCCAGATTCACAAAAGCAGCACAGGCGCACCGCTGTTCTGTAAACCTCCATGTTGCTGCCAGGAATTTCTCCTTCCCTCTTGCTCCAAAACGCAGCGAGCTCAATATGTTGCAGCAGACAGTAAACGCGTGTCTTTTATACCACTAGCTTTGTGGCTCACACTTGGTTTTTTGTTTCAGTCTTAACTGCGAGGCAAGAACAACTTTCTCAACCCAAAAAGATCTGCCCCGGGTTTGAAGAAAACAGGTGCGGAGAAGGGGACTAGGTTGATATTCATGTCGCACATCGATGCAGCCACGGGGTTTTTAAAATTCTGCTTCATGAACAGTTTCACCTAAATTAAAAGTTCTCGGGATGGTTAGCTACGCAGATCCTACTGATCCTTATCTGTGGGCATGTCTACACGTGCTTTTACGTGCGACTAAACTTAATGCGCATTAGCCTAATGCACATTAAGGCGATTTAGGCGCACGTCTACATGTGCACGCGCATTAAGGCACATTACTGCAAGTATGCGGACCAACTTGGGACTAAAGTTAGTCCCAAGTCAGTGGACATACACCATGTTAATGTGCATTTGTGTGTCTACACATTCACTAATGCGACTTAGCTATTCGCACATAAATTTGATACCTGCTTTATGCAGGTATCAAATTTAGGCTCGAATAGCCTAAAATCGCCATTTTAAAGGTGCATTAAGGGCATGCATGTATAGACACGTGCCCTTAATGTGCATTAAATTGGGCTGATGCACATTAAATGTGCACACGTAGACACACCCAGTGAGTGTCTGGGCAACTGCTGCGATAACAGGCTAGAGAAGTATGGAAACGGGTACATAGCAAGGTATGTTGGTGAATCCTATAGGTGAATTTTAGTACAAGCATTTGTCTGAAAATTGAGACTAGTAGGGAGTGTTTTCTGCAAGTTTTCTGCTTTAGAAAAATCTGATGAGTGTCACATGAACAATCATGTGATGGGAGTATGGAAAGCCCCTGGCAAACAGTGAGTGACCAATCAAGAGGGGGAAAAGGAAGCTTTGAAAGTATTTAGCAAAACCCTTGCATTAATTGAAGTGAATGGGGGGAGCTTTTGCCCCATTTTAACAGCAGACCGTTCCCTTTGCCTCTCTTAATGCTTAAGCAGATGTCTAGTTGTGGCATACAGTTATGTCCCCTTCCCTGCTGTGCTCCGGAAGTGGCTTCATGCCAGCACTCGAGGGCACCGATGCTCACCTCTCAATTGTGCGTCGCTTGGTTAGATGGTTTGGGGTCAGCAGCGAGGAAGATGCTATGGAAATGTGGAAGGTGGCTGACTGAATCGCTTTTCCCCTATTCTGCCAGAAACCGGCCCTCCCCTGAATGGCTGGTGGGTGCTGCCTCCAGACATGCTATGGCTTCTCCTCGGGTGAAGGAGCTGGCCCGTCCAAAAGAGGTCAGCCAGGCCTGGGAAGCCGAGCGCTCCGTCTACACCATCGTACGTAGATCCGCGGGGACAGGGAGTCCGTCGCTTGGCTGTCTGTCCGCCTGTCGGGGAGCCCATCGTCTTCCCATCTGTGGGGTTCTGCACAGAGGGAGTATTTGGGGCTGTGCGTGTTGGGTTTCTGCATCAGCCATAATGTTTTGAACCCTCAGACCCTTACCATACCCATGCATTCACTTTTCACATTTTATGACAGCAGCTCAGGGGCATGAGACTGGAGCCTTGCAGTGGCAGGGGCTGGATGAGCATCTTGTAAAAGATGAGCCTGAAAAGCTTGCAGGGTCAGCACTGCAGAAGAAACCACGGCACGGCACGAAGCTGCTGGCCCAAGTCACCCACTGCCCACTGACTCCTACTCTTAGATCCGTGGCCACAAGGCTCTGCCAGTCCCTTTTTGGCATGGAAACATTTTACCCTGCTTTGCATTAACCTAAATGACTGTACAATGAGCAGGCCAACGGGAAAATCAGGTCCTTTGTATCCCGAAAGACAAAATCGGGCCGCACAGCACATCGGCAGCCTGCAGCGACGGCTGGTTGAGAGTCGCTATTCTTCCTCCGGGGCTCGACACACGCGTGGCGCTTTGAGGATCTCCGGTTAAACGTATCCTCTAATGCACAAGTCTCGGAGCAAGTCTCTTTGATTCTGTCCCTGACTCAGATATGGGGGTGGGCAGGCAAGGAGGCCCATAAATATGGCATCCTATTTATGAATCATGAAGTTGCATGTGTTCCACGCACGGATGCCTGTTCAATTAATGGGACGCCTGCTGTTGTTTCCCTCCAGTTACTGTAAACTCGGAAGCTTGCAGCTCCTGTTTTACGTTCCTTCTCTTTTCTCTCCTATTGACGCTGCAGAGCTCAGCTCCAAAGCAGCATCTGGTTTTTGGGGGAAGTTGTTGCATCCTCAGAACCCCCTTTAGCCCATTTCCATCTGGGTTGAGCTCCTGGTCCGCATGGAAGTCATTGGCTTGGCACAGACTCTGCCAGTTGCTCTATTCTCTGGATCTGCTCACATGCCCGCACAGCTGTTGTGTTTGTGTAACCCTCTTTCCTGGCTGAATGTACCCCGCGGGCCCAAGGTTACGTCCCAGATCTTTTGATGCTTGCGGAGATTGTTGTGTCGCACAAACGATAGGGACATGAGTTGGGGGAGCATGAGATGCCGCCTGACCCAGAGCAGGGTGCGAAGGCCCAAAGGCTGCGGGTTGTCGAAGTCTGAGCTCATGCAAAGCTGTAGTGTTAAACTGATGACGTACATATGGAGCTGGGAGGCAGAGAAAACTGACCCAATCCTTTGATTTCAGGTGAGCGAAGGTGCCAGGAAAGCGGCTCCTCGAGAACGAACCATCCATCTAGCGAAGCCGAAAAGACGGGACTTCTCGGCCTGCCTGAATGCCACTTCCATCCCTCCTCCAAGAAAGCATTTTACCAGAACCAAATCCTTAGCTAGTAAGAGCGCCTCTTCCTCACCCTATTAGCAGCAACACGCCTTTCCCCTCCAGGCCATTCCCGCTGCTTCCCATCCCTAGGGACCACACGGCAAAATCAATCGATCAGTGTCTTTCAGAGACAAAGAAAAATCTGAGCCTTGTAAGCCCAGCTTTCCAAACAGAGCTCATTGTGGACGCGTAGCTTCTCTCATTATCCGTCGTCTCCCCTTCCTATCCCACCTTCTGGTCCCAGAAGTCCTGCCTCCAGCAAGCGGTTCTCAAATGTCTTATCTGCAGTTTAGGTTGCTTTAGTGTTTGTAGACCTTATGAGCTACCCAAGTACTGAGTATTATTCTTCTTTTAAGAAGGGGCATTGTCTACTGGGGAGAACCCAGCACTGGTGGGGGGGTCGGAAGACCTGAATACTAGAATCAAATTCTAGAGTCGAATCCTAGCAAGATGTTTCACCTTCCCCGTGCTTGTTTCTCCCAAATACCCATCTCTCCAGGGCATTGTGAAGTGTAACGATTGAGAGCTGTGAGATCCTACCCAAAAATATATTCCCATGGAAGAAAGCAAGCCTTGGGACCTTTCGCAATACTGAATCTCAGAGTCCTTTTAACAAGCCGTTTCTTTCTATACCCCACGATTTGTTCCTTGTAGAGCCAAAAATGGAACATCCAAGCTACCGCCACGAAAAGCTAGTCCCATGGCCTGTGTCTGCAGGAGCCAAGAAAGCCATGGCATCTGCAAGGGTCTCTAAGCTTGCTCACCCAAGAGTCCGAAAACATATCTTCGAGGGCTACAACCCTTACAAGGTGTCCGGCACTGCCCAGCACGCACAAGCCAGTCCCCGGCTTTTGGAGCTTAGTACTCCTCGGAGGCTGAGAACGAAGCATCTCTAAATCATCACGTGCTGTTCACTGCAAATGCTGTTGCTTGCACATTAAATGTTCTTTAATGTAGATCTGTGACCCGTGGCTGGGTCGTCCGCGTGGAACCCATTAGTGTGGCTGGGGTCTGGTTGAAGGATAGGAGGGTAGACGATGATCCTGATGGCAGACCGGCAGACTGGGTCAGTCTGTTGAAAAGCTTCCCATCCTCTCCTCCTGTGAGCATAGACACTTTAAGAGATGGGCCAATGATTGCCATTGCTGTCATTAAAACCGTCAGGAGCGTTGCTTCGGGGTCAGCAAAACATGCATATCTCTGAGCAGCCGTATGCTGGGGTAAAATCAGACAAATGCTGCAACCAAGTATGAACATGAATAATCATTATGAATTTGCTCTAGCTGTAGCTACCCCTCATGCCCTTGCTGGTAAATTTGAGTTTGCAGGGATGAGAAGAAGAGACATCAATGAGTGAACATGGGCTTATACGTGTGCTCGCAGCCTGTCCTGATGTGCGGCCCACTCACGTGCTCTTTGCGTGTGTCTGTGTCGGTCGGTCACAGGACAAAAGTGAAGGTCTGCGGAGAAATGACTGAATAAGTTGGCATGAACCATGTGTCAAGTCATTTGGAATAGCAAACAAATTAGCCAGTCCATTCACAGGTACATCGCTAACAGGAAAAGGTGGACTTGTTCATCCAGCCGTATTCCCGATCCAAATTCCAGACCCCTCCCGCTTTTGCTGCCATAAAAGCCCAGGCACATAACGTGGTCAGGAGGGAGGGACAGTAGTAGTTCTTGTAGATATATAAGAATATAAGAAATATGAAATATTTCTTATGAAATATATGAACTATAAGAAATATATCTGAAAGCAAGACGGTTGGGGTTCCTCTTGTATCGAATAGACACTGTCTGTGATCTGTCGAAGCCGTTCGAGTAGGACTAGACGGACCTGCTGTGCCACGGGATAACGGTCTGCTGAAGCGGGCTGGTTCCTTGCTCAAGGGCGGTCGCCATCACTTCAGAAACACTTGATAGCACTTTGCTTCCCAAGCTCAAATGCATAAGTGAAAACGAAGGCGAAGCAAATTGCCGGGCCGCGGGATAGGAAATCTTCCCATAATGACTGAATGCTAATAAAGCGCATCTCAACGGCTGAATCTTTATTGTTAGTGGCAAACCTGGACCTACCCTCTGGAGAAATTAAGCTGTACAGAACTGCTTCACTAGCCATCATCAAATAGAGAGGTCTGGTAGGAAATACAGCTCCGAGTCCAAATACGGTTCCACTGCTGCTCCCCAGCAGTGCAGGCTCCTCATTAGCGCGCCCTGTACACGGAGAAACAATTGGCTCTCTGACTGCGATGGTGAGTCACAGAGGGATACAAGGGTCCCCTTGCAGGGACCATTGGTTAGGAAAAGCCTTGGAGACAGGTGGGATTAAACAAGAGCTGATTGCAAGGAGGGTTTTGCTGTAGAAAATCCACATAACAGCTTCTATAACCACATCCTTTGCAGGTTACTGGCATGGCCACCACAAGAAGCCATCAGCCAGCACGTCCCCTTCTGCCACCCAGAACTGCTCTGCAGCCTCTGTACTCAACTTTTGGTGCACTCAAACACAATCATTTCCCCAGACCTTTAAAAAACTGGATTCAGGCTTCTCAGTGAAGATGCCTTTGACAACGTTACTACTTGCCTCCATGAGAAAGTTGCATCTACACGTCATTAAATCGGTTTAGAAACCAACTGAGTTAAATGAGGGCAACCTGTTTGCGTGGCAACCCCTTCAATCTGTTCAAGAGGGGGTTGTATGGATTGGGCTGAAACTGGGGAGGTATCGGATCGAGTCGGACTCTTCACCTAGAATAAGTGGCCATCAGAAGAGGGTTGGAGCAGTGTAACTAAACCGCTTTGCAAATTAACTTAGCTAAACGGGAGCACTTTCTTGTGCAGACAAGACCTTAACTTGTACGAGGTGCTGAGTCAAAACGGAGTTTGAGCAGAGGCGGTGACATCTTCTAACCCGCAGTTACATCTGTACCATGCCTGCAAAATGCTAAATTCCTCATTCACCGCGTCAGGACCACTTTACTTGCATAGGTGCACACAAAAATTGCAGACAAGCTGCCCTTTTTTCTCTCCGGGACTATGAACAGGAGTGCTGCAATATCTAAAAAAATATTTCTCATGCCCATTACCCAATGCCTTACTATCTATCCCCTTAATAGTCTCGCTGACTCTATGAGATGGGCAGATTTGTTTCAGAGTTTGAATAAAAACGTTAGCCCAAATGTCACTCAGATCCACAGGCCAAAATGGATGGAGTTGCACCAGAGGTGAATTTGGAGACTTAAAGGATGACTGTAGCTCCCAGAACGATCCAGATTTTCAAACCCGGCGCCAGATTCAGCTCCTAATCGGGGGTTTCCCTGTGGCCTTCCATTAGCTGCCACAGAAAGGCCAATTCCACAGGACAGAAGTCACCAGACTTCCCTTGTGACACGAACAAAAGGCAAGTGGAAAATCCCACCCCGTTGTGAAGCAGGTGGGATTTCCAGAGGCCTCCAACCCAGCACACGCTCCGACAACACGAACGACATCTCCTAAGCGTGGCACTATCCCGTGACATGCTGAGAGCTCCTGGTTTCTCTTTGCAATCCCTGAAGGGGCATTTTGCAAGAATAGGCCTCAAATTCAGATGATGTTGTTCAGGCCTTTCCAGCCAGAAATGATTTGCACCAGCCGAGCGTCTCTCTTGCAATCTAGGTGCAGCTGGGGCAACAGACGGCACCCGAGGATCTGCTCAGACCTCTCATTTTGTAAGAACTTGCCCCTCTGCCATAAACCCTCGATGCCGTAAGCTGGGCCCAGGTTCCCGTCAGCTATCCAGGTGGCTCTTCTCTACCCCAAAGCTTCAGCCCTTGCAAGCTGTCCCTTCACGCCTACGTGATGCCCCTTCCCTCCTGTATGGACGACTTGTCTTTCGTGGAGTCGGGCTCAGAGATTCATCAAGTTCAAGGAACCAGCAGCGCAGGCGTCCGACGCCCAGTTTAACCCAGGCTGTTACGTTTCCCCCCGGCCGCTCCTGTGCCGAGCTCATTCACCTGGGGCAGAAGGCCGGGCATGGATGCACCTTATAGACTAAATCAGAGGTGCCTAAGTCAGTGCAGGGTTGCCAAAGCTGATACGCCTCTGATTTAGTTAGTCTGTAAGGTGCATCTCTGCCTTGCCTTCGTACTGGCAGGGCTAACGACCCCTCTCTGCTCACAAACTCGAGCGTGCAGGAAGGGCTGCCACCCACCGCCGCCTGCGGCTTGACTGGACCCCCAGCCATGGGTCATTCCCTGCCCCCGGACCTGCAAACTGCCTCCTCAACCTCCCCCCGTCCCCCTCCCTCCCAGACCTGCCCCCTGCCCCTCA